AATTCTTTTGTAACCTTGCTAATTTTTTTTCTAGTTGCTCCTCAGTTGTTGAGAGTGTGGTGTTGAAGTTTCCGACTAAAATTGTGGATTTGTTTATTTTTCCTTTCAGTTCTGTCAGTTTTCACTTCACAAATTTTATAACTTTGTTGTTTGGTGTGTGTACGTTTAGGGTTGTTATTCTTGGTATCTTGAGCCTTTTATCATTTCCCTCTGTCTCTGGTAATTGTCTTTGCTCTGAAGTCTATTCTATCTGATATTGATAGAGCCTTTCTTGCTTTCTCTAAATTAATGTGTGCATGTTATATCTTTTTCTGTTCTTTTTTTTTTTTTTTTTAAGATTTTATTTATTTGACAGAGAGAGACAGTGAGAGTGGGAACACAAGCAGCACAAGCAGGGGGAGAGGGAGATGCAGGCTTCCGGCTGAGCAGGGAGCCTGATGCAGGGCTCGATCCCAGGACCCTGGGATCATGACCTGAGCTGAGGGCAGACTCTTAACAACTGAGCCACCCAGGCGCCCCTCTTTTTCTCTTCTTTTACTTTCCACCTATCCTTGTCATCTCGGTATTGTCATCTATTGATTGTCTTCTTTAAATTCAGTTCGAGATCTTCCTGGTTTATGGTATGAGTGTGTTTTTTTGTTTTTTCGGTTTTTTTTTTTGTTTTTGGAGAGGGAAAGAAAGGGTGGGGGAGTGGGGGGGTGTGCAGAGGGAGAGGTAGAGAGAATCCCAAGCAGGCTCTATGCCCAGCACAGAGCCTGATGTGGGGCTCAGTCCCACAACCCTGAGATCATGACCTGATCTGAAACCCAGAGTCGGATGCCTTACCAACTCAGCCACCCAGGTGCCCCTGACGATGGTACTTGATTGAAACCTGAACAGTTTTGTCTTTTGTTCTGAAACTGATTGTTTTTCCTGGCTTTTCCTAATACTCTGGCAGGGGACAGATGAGGGAGGTACTGCCTGATTATTGGGAAGTGGAGGTAGAAGTCCAGGTTCCTTACTCAGCCTTTGTTTTTAATTGAAGTATAATTAACGTACAGTATTCTCTTAGTTTCAGGCGGACAGCATAGTGATTCAACAGCTCTATACATTCCTCTGTGCTCACCATGATAAGTGTAGGCACCATCTGTCCCCAAACACTATTACAGTACTATTGACTATTCCCTATGCTGCACTTTTTATCTCCATGATTGTTTTGTAACTGGAAGTTTGTACCTCTTTTTCTTCTTAAAGATTTACTTACTTATTTGAGAGAGAAAGAGCAGTGCAAGTCGGGGGGCAGGGGCAGAGGGAGAAGGAGAGAAGCAGACTTCCTCCTGAGGATGGAACCCCATTTCGGGGCTTGATCTCAGGTCCCTGAGATCATGACCTGAGCTGAAGTCAAGAGTTGGAGGCTTAATGGGCTGAGCCACCCAGGGGGCCCCATGTTTGTACCTCTGAATCACCTTTATATATTTCACCCATTCCCCACCACCCACTTCCCCTTTGGCAACTACCGGTTCTATTTAAGAGTCCGATATTTGTTTGTTTGCCCCACTCAGCCTTTTTTGACACCTGAAGCCTGGTGAAGTCCTTGTTAACTGCTGGGTAGGGGTAGAAATTCTCGTTCCCTAGCCCTCTTTATCAGTGAGCAGTGGTGAATGTTCTGACACTAGTTCTTCTCTGACACGAGCCCCACAGGTAGTGGGAGAAATGCCTCGTTACTGCTTGGATGGGCATAGAGTCTAGGTTTGGTTTCCACTGACGCCGAGGGACTAGAGGAGTGGGCCAGGTGGTACGTTGTTACTGGACAGTAGGGGTGAAAGTCCTAGCTCCCTACTTGGCCTTCTCTGATACCACCCCAGTGGGGATTAGGGAGCCTTGTTACAGCCTCATGAGGGTGGAAGTCTGAGGCTCTCCATTTGGCCTTTGCTGGCATGGGTGGGAGTGGGGCCATAGTTTTTTCTGTGGTGTTTGGCTAGAATAGAGCTGTTATTGTCTAAATGTTTTCTGTCTTGCTAGGCTACCCCCTTCCTGCTCCTTTGGCTAAAGAGAGGAGACTTTTGTTGGGACTCTGTTTCGTGTCATCTGTTGGCATTTCTGGGTTGCCAGCATCTTCAGCTCCAAATCTGGGATGTTTGAGGCAAAAGGAAAACCCAGGGAACTCAACACTTTGTCTTTCTTTGAGTTTTGAGGTCTCTCACTGGTCTGCCTTCTTCTCTTGATTTTTTAGAGTCTCATGTTTATATATGATATCTGGAATTTTTTGTCCTGTTTAGTGGGAAACTAGGGGAAAATAGGTCTACTTCATCTTCTTAGATGTGGAAGTCCAGTTGTTTTTTTTTCTTTTATGCTTTATTTTTTTATGTCTTGTTAAATGAAATCCTTTCTTATCCTGACATTCTACTGTATTCTAAGATTTTGGGACACCTGGGTGGCTCAGTCAGTTAAGTGTCTGCTCTCAGCTCAGGTCATGATCCCAGGATCCAGTCCAGCACCTGCTTCTCCCTCTGCCTCTGTCACTCCCCGTACTTATACTCTCTCTCTCTCTGTCAAATAAATAAGTAAAACAAACAAAAAAACTAGGGCTAGATATAACTGCTGTTTATAAAGTTATTTTCAGGGGCGCCTGGGTGGCTCAGTGGGTTAAAGCCTCTGCCTTTGGCTCAGGTCATTATCCCAGAGTCCTGGGATCAAGCCCCACATCGGGTTCTCTGCTCAGCGGGCAGCCTGCTTCCCTTCCTCTCTCTCTGCCTGCCTCTCTGCGTACCTGTGATCTCTGTCAAATAAATAAGTAAAATCTTTAAAAAAGTTATTTTCATAGAAAAATACTTATAAATCAGTGGCACCTGGGTGGCTTAATCTGATCCTGAGATCAAGTTTCGCATCGGGCTCCCTACTCAGTGGAAAGCCTGCTTCTCCCTCTGCCCTTCCCCACCCCCCCCCCGGCTTGTGCTCATTCTCTTTCTAACAAATAAATAAAAATCTAAAAAAAAAAAATTTTTTTTATAAGTTCAGCTTTTTACATTTGTATAGCTAATCCACCCAGGACTTATTTATAACGGAGAAGTGAGGGAGGACCTTAATTGTACTTGATTTCCTGCATAAATGGCCATTGGTCCTGGTGCCTATGAACCGCTCCTTTGCAAGCTGATTTCGGGCTCTCTGTCTGCTTCCACAATCCATTTCTGCTCTGCCGCTGTAATGCTGCTTTAAATACCTTTATGATAAGTCTTTGGTAAGCTAGGACTCCCGGACTTCAAAATTATTTTACTTGGGCTTTGGCGGTCTCATGAATTTTAGTTCAGAAACAAAGTAGGAACAGGAATGGCAAAATCAATAGCCAGAAAAACCCCAACCCCGGCCCTGTTGGAATTGGCTTGGATTTGCAGTGACTTTATAGTACATTGCCCACTTCAGTGACCTTGTTTTTTGTTTTTTGTTTTTTTAGCAGTATCATTTACTTTGCATACCCCAGTCAAAAAATATCATGTGGCCCCTCGGCAGGTTGGCTTAGGGCAGGGCGTTCTTTTCTAGAATGGGAAATTGCTCTGGTCACCTTGGGGGGACACCCATCAAGTCCCACAATGCATCAGTGTGGCTTGTCAGCCTTAGGGCAAGTGTTCTGAGTTGCCCGCTGAAGCAAGTCAGGAGACTGAGGGACAAGGTGCAGGGTTCTAATCTTTTGGGGATGGGGAGCAAGAGAGGCCAAATAAGTTTTGTTCACTGGCACTGAGTTTGTAAATACGGGTTTAATAAACAAGTCCTGTGATTAGTGCTTGGGATGTGAGGAATACACAGCTGCTGAACTTCTCCATGCAAATGCTTGGTTTTTTAGTCTCTTCAAAAGCATTTTTTTTAGTGGGTGAGAGGCAGAGGGAGAAGGAAAAAGAGAATCTTAAGCAGGCTCTGTGCTCAGTGCAGAGCCAGATCGATGGCAGGGCTCGATCTCACAATCCTGAGATCATGACCTGTGCCAAAATCAAGAGTGGGATACTTAACTGATGCTTAACTAAGCCACTCAGGCACCCCAAAAGCACTGTTTTAAGACTTAAAAGTGTTATATTAGCCAATTGCTTGATCTCTATATATAAAAAAAACATTTTTCCCCTTGAAACATTTCAAAATAAAATGCAGAGAATTTTGCTCCTTCATCCCTAAATCCTTCAAAATTAGGGACAATCTCTTACAGAACCACACTACTATCATCTCGCCTGAGAAAATTAACAATAAATCCAATCTCTCACCCAGAGGCCCAGTTATTTCTTTTGGAGCTGGGCTTCTGTGTTTTTGTTGTTGTTGTTGTTTCTTAAAGTTTTTAAGTTTTTTGCTTTAAGTAAATCCAGATCCAGTCAAGATGCACACAATACTTCTGGTGGCCGTTTCTAAATCTGGAACAGCTCCCCTGTGTTTAGGGGTGTCAGCATTGGGGCAGACCAGGCCAGTTATCTTGTAGAAGGTCCCACATTCTAGATTCGTCTGATTGTGTCTTCATGACTGCTGTGTTTGCTGTATACTGGGAGTTGGGTCTAGAGCAGCACTGCCCAACAGCAAATATAACGTGAGCCACACATTAGTATTTTCGGGCAGGCATGTGAAAAAATAAAAATAAGGAGGTATTAATTTCGGTCCTGTGTTTTCTTAAGCATTTCTTTATTTATCATTTGTTAATGTGTATTATTTACTAAATATTTTATTTCATAATATATTTTATATCCAAAAGAATATCATTTCAGTATGTAATCGGTATTTTAAAAGTATTAAGGAGATCTCTTACATTCCTTTTTTTTTTTTGCTAACTTTTCAAAATTCAATGTATATTTTACCCTTAATGGGCCAGCTACATTTCCAGTGCTCAGTGGCCACATGTAGCTGGTTCCTCTGTCCTGGACAGCGTAGGGTGAGACTTGATCCAACTCAGGGTAGATGTTTTGTCAACACTTAGGGGGTAGTAACTGCCTGTGTACAACTTGGAAATTATGGAGTTTGCTAAAGTCTGAGTCTGTTCTCTTCTTTTTCAGGCCCTGGGATGGAGCAGGTGTGCAGAGGGTGAGGACCCAGCTCTGGGACCAGGTCACTTGCCTCTTTTCTTAGTGAGACTGTTGGCTTGAGCAGACCCAAGCCGGGATGAGGATGTCTGCGGGCCTTTCGCTGCCGCTCCCTCTCTGGGGGAGGACCTTTCTCCTTCTGCTGTCTGTGACTGTGGCTCAGTCCCATTGGCCTTCGGAGGCTGGCAGGGACTGGGAGAACCAGCTCGAGGCGTCCATGCATTCAGTGCTCTCAGACCTTCACGAGGCTGTTCCCACAGTAGTGGGCATTCCTGATGGTACGGCTGTCGTTGGGCGCTCGTTTCGAGTGACCATTCCAGCGGATTCAGTTGCCTCCAATGGAGAACTCATCAAGGTGAGATGGATGTAAAGCTTAAGTAAATGAGAAAGAAGTCTCATCTGCATTTTGGTTTTAGTTGTTTTTTGTTTGTTTTTGTTTTTGTTTTAGCTTTCCATTCTAAGTTCCAGCATTCTGAGCTCAGTTCTTCCAGGACCAGTGCAGTTACCATAAGAGAGGGACAACCACTGATTCTCACAAGAGGGTCCCCAGATACCTCTGAATAGCTTCCTAAACTTTTATTCTTTCTCCAGTTTTTGAAGGTGTTACCATTAAAAAGCCTTTACATTTATGATTTGGAAAATTTCATGGTCATTGTGTTAGGATTTGATGGAAGGGCTTATGTGCAGGAAAAGGTCTTCTTTCATTAACCATGGTATTAAACCCAAGAAATACAGAACTTTGAAATGATTTGAACCTATTTTTATAAAATATGGTATAAGTAAGTATAGGAGTTTTGCTCTCATTTGGTGTTGTATGTTTACTAATGTGTTTGATCACTTAAGGACGAGTATTGGCATCCAGCCTTCAGCCTTGCCCCATCTCCTTTGGGGAAGCAATCCAGAGAACAAGGGGATCTGAGACCCATGTGACAAAAGAGTGTCTTGGCTGGCCCAAGATGGAAATCAGGTGAAATAGGAAGCTTTTGTGTCAGGAAGCATCTTCCCTTTGTCTGGGGTTGTGGGTCCTTGGAATTTCCCCCGGATCCTGAGTGAGTTTGCACGGTGCCCACAAGATAGGTAGGCTGCACTCCTCAAGTTAGGAACATCTCCTAGAATAGAGGTCAGTTCTTTTTCTTAGAGGGCCAGATAGTAAATAGTTTAGGCTTTGCTGGCCATGTGGTTTCTGTTGAAACTCCTCAGCCCTGCCATTGTAGCACAGCAGTAGCCATAGATAATGTGTACGTGAACAGGCGTGAGCATGCTCCACTAGAACTTCACCTGTGGACGCTAGAACTGAAATTTGAATTTCATATAATTTTCACATGTCAAAAGATAATCTTTTCATTTTATTTTCTCTCAATCATTTGAAAATGCAAAAACCATTTTTAGGTCATAGGCTGTGCAGAAACAGGTGGTAGGCCACCTTTGGCTCTTGGCCATAGTTGTCCTACAGCAAGCATTCTTCCCCTCGAGGTATGGCTTGAAAACGAACTAAAAATATCCCAAGATTGGTACTTTGTGATGGTAGTTTTTATGTCTCTTTTGCCTTTAGACATCTGTAGACACAGTGTTCTGGTGATCTCTTGGTGTGTTTAAACCACCAAAAGTGGTTTAGAACTCCCAGTTTGTTTGCTCACAGTTTTGTGGCCAGGAATTCAGGGGGTTAGAGCTCATCTGGAAACCTCGTATCTGCTTCAAATGGCACTAACGAGAGTGGCTCATCTGGGTCTGGAGGGTCCACTTCTAAAATGGCTTATTCCTGGCTGACAAGTTGGTGCTGCCTCTGGACAGGGAGCTTAGCTGGGGCTGTTGGTCAGGGTCCTTGGTTCCTCTCCATTTAGACCTTCCCCTGGGCTGCTTGAATTTCCTCACAGCACAGTTAGCTGGGTTCTAGGATTGGGTATTCCAAGAAACAGGAAGTGGAAACTGCCAGTCTCTTAAGGCCTGGCTTGGTAACTTGCACAGCAACACTTCCTGTACTCACTGGTCAAAGCACTCACAGTCTCTGGTGGGTCCTTTCCAACCTTCTCCTCTCTGACCCACAAGCCCCAGGCATCTAGATTAGATATGGTCACAAACGCTATGCCACTCATCCCACTGAGAGGTGGCTCTGTGCCATTTTCCCTTGAATCTGGGTGGACCTGCTCCTTACCTGCACCTTCCTTGTGCTCCCTTCATTTTCTCCCAGCCCCCTTTTCTTTAGGTCATGGCTTGTTCTCAGGGTGGCCTTCTGATATCAGAGGCAGTCATACTCTTAAAAATCCTGGCTCAGGTCCACAGAGCTCGTTGTTGTTCACAGAAGTTTTCCGTGTCATCTTTGTAATGCCCCAGCAAGCCAGTTGCTAGTCTGCCCATTAGAAAAAGAAGAGTGGCACTTTGGGGAGTGCAGGCCTTATCCACCTTCACATTTGATCTTCTGAATGTCCAAACCCTGTAGTGGTTGCCCTTGTTCCAGTGGTCACTGGAATGTTTTACATGGATTAGTTTTGACAAGAGGTGCCTTAAATCAATGCAGCAAGCTGGGTATGTGCTGTATCTGGCAGAGAAATATTTAACAGGCTTATTCACCAGGGGAGTAAAGAAATTTTACTGGGAAAACGGGATTTTATCTGAGCACATTTATCTGTAGAAAGCAGACCATTTAGTAGCTGATCAGCCTATAGAAAAACACATGAAAATGTGTGACTCTTTGTTCCAGACAGTCTTGCCATCAGCGTTGTGTGGGGCGGGAAATCAGATCAGAAAGCGCGACTTGGCCTCTGGAGCTTCACTTTCCCTGGAAGTCAAGCGGCTTAATAAATCTATATATAAAAAGGTGTTTTTTTTTCTCAATTATAATAATGATATATAAATGTGTGTTGTAGAAAAGGGAGAAAGAAAAATCTTTTGTTCCTCGCACTCAGAGTGAAGTCTTCTACCATTTTCTGTGTTGTGAGGAGGTGTCCATATTATACACACAGACATCTTAGACCTGAGATCACACTGGCCATATATTTTTTAAATTTTTAAATTTTAAATTTTGTTTTTGTTATTTATTTAAAATAAATTAACATATAGCGTATTACTAGTTTCAGAGGTAGAGTTGAGTGACTTATCAGTTGCATATAACACCCTGTGCTCATTACCTGATGTGCCCTCCTTAATGCCCCTCACCCAGTTATCCCGTCCCTCCATCCACTTCTCCTCTAGCAACACTGTTTGTTTCCTGTAGTTAAGAGTCTCTTATGGTTTGTCTCCCTCTCTGATTTTATCTTATTGTATTTTTCCTTCCCTTCCCCTATGTTCATCTGTTCTGTTTCTTAAATTCCACATGAGTGAAATCATGATATTCGTCTTTCTGACTTTTTTCACTTAACATAATACTCTCTAGTTCCATCCATGTTGCTGCAAATGGCAAGATTTCATTCTTTTTGAAGGGCGAGTACATCTTCTTTATCCATTCATCTGTTGATGGACTTCAGGGCTCTTTCCATATTTTGGCTGTTATGGACATCGCTGCTATAAGCATTGGGATGCATGTGCCCCTTTGAATCTGTGTGTGTACCCTTTGGATAAATACCTGGTAGTGTAATTGCTGGGTTGTAGGGTAATTCTTCTTCTTCTTCTTCTTCTTTTTTTTTTTTTTTTAAGATTTATTTAGAGTCTGGGGTGCCTGAGTGGCTCAGTCGGTCAGTTAAGCATCTGACTTTTTGATTTTGGCTCAGGTTATGATCTCAGGGTTGTGAGCCCGCATTGGGCTTTATGGTCGGTAGGGAGTATGCTTCTTTCCCTCTCCCTCTGCCTCTCCGCCTGCTGGTGCACGTGCTCTCTCTCAAATAAATAAATAAATCTTAAAAAAGAAAAGAAAAGAAAAGATTTATTTATTGGGACACCTGAGTAGCTCAGTCACTTGAATGTTCAGGTCTTGATTTCGGCTCAGGTCATGGTCTCCAGTCATGGGACTGAGCCTCATGTCAGGCTGCATGTTGGGTGAGGAGTCTGCTTGGGGATTCTCTCCTTCTCCTTTTGCCCCTCCCCCAGCTTGTGCATGTGCTTTCTTAGATAAAGACGTAAAATTATTTTTAATTAATCTTAAAAAATATTTATACTGGTTTATATATACCTATATATACCCTATACTAGACATCTTTCTGGACCTGCTTTTATTTATTTATTATTTATTTATATAATAAATATATTATTAATATAATAATAATAATATATAATGTATAATAAAATATATATAATAAATATATTATTTATTTATTAAAATAGATTTATTTATTTACTTAAGGAAGAACGAGAGTAGGGACAGGGGGAGAGGGAGAGGGAGAGAGAATCCCAAGCAGACTCCACTGACCATAGAACCTGACACAGGGCTTGATCTCCTGACCCCGAGATCCTGACCTGACCCAAAACCAAGAGGCAGATGCTCAACTGACTGAGCCACCCAGGCACCCCTAAACCTACCTTTTTTTATTCACTGTAGTTTGCATTTTTTCCTCATAGTCATTAAGTATTCTTTGGGAATATGATTTTTAATGACTTGCCCAATATTCTTACGTATGTGAGGATAATCTCAGATCTTGGTCCCAAGGAGTGTTTTAAGGTGACTTCCGAATGGTATCTATCACTACTACCGCCGTCATCTGAGCTGCCACTTATTTGCCCAGGCTGCCTCTCTCTGTTCCTTTGTTGTTTGTTTTTACAGATTTTATTTATTTGTCAGAGAGCGTACAAGCAGGGGGAGTGGCAGGCAGAGGGAGAAGCAGGCTCCCTGCTGAGCAAGGAGCCCAATAGGGGACTCCATCTGGGGACCCTGGGATCATTATCTGAGCTGAAGGCATGCTCTTAACCGACTGAGCCACCCAGGTGTCCCGCCTTCTTCTGTTTTTCCCCTCTCAGTCTGTTTTCTGCACTGAGGCAAGAGATGTTCTTATCTTGGTAAAGCTTAAATCTGCTAACAACCCCCTCTTCCCCCAAATATCACTGAGCTCCACTTAGAATGGAGGCCCACGTGATTGGCCTCTGGCCTCCTCTCTCTCCCCTTTTCCTTTTGCATGTCATGTCCCAACCATACTGGCCTCTTGCCCCACGGACATGCCTGGCTCAGGGTCCACCCTGGCCTCTGGCACAGACTTTCTTCTGTCAGCCTGGGTCCTGGGTGAGGGTTGGTCTTCTAGCCATTTTGGCCATGGCCCAGTTGTCTAATGAGGACTCAAAAACAGAGCGTGCTGCTCTCCTGAAATCAGACAAGTTAGTTTTTTTTTTTTTTTTAAGATTTTATTTATTTGACAGAAAGACACAGTGAGAGGGAATACAAGCAGGGGGAGGGAGAAGCAGGCTCCCTGCCAAGCAGGAAGTCCGATGCAGGGC